CATCATTCTTAAATGCAAATCTATAAGAATGGCTTTGAGATGTATCTGCTGCTTGCATTAATATTTTATATATGTTATGCCACATTACTGCATAGAGATTCAGAGAAAATGACCGCTTTTTTGACACATGAACATGAGGGCTTCTTTTGAAATTAATAAAGTTATTTTTATGAATTTTACATTTTTTAAAATCACAGTAGTGATGTACATATCAATCTTTACAAACTCTTCTAGAAAGAAAATCCTGCAATCATCTTCTTGTTAAGAGTTAATATCAAAGCAAATGTACTTTGGAAGCCAGTTGATTTATCAATCCTCTGTTTCATCATGCTTTGTCCATTTGCCAAATCCAAAATATTTATTGAGAAGAGCACTTTGCATCATTTTGACTTTCTTCATGGAGCTTCAGTGAGAAAACCATTGCTACGTGTATCATACCACAGCCCCTCTGAAGGCTAGTGAGGATTCACCAAGAGGGCTGGCTGATAGATGAGCTTTTGTACAGCTCAGAAAACCTAACATGGGGTATTTCATTACGGATATCTCTTGGCAATGTGTACTGCTGTGCCCATCAGCCAAGCCTTGTGTGTCAAAGTGCACTGCACCTGCAGCTGTGATAGTCAGAGCCAGCAAACTATAGGGTTTTGTCATGAATGATGTCTTTTTATATGCACTTTAGGGATATTTGAGGTCTTGGTAGCTTCTGTATTCTTCACACTATAAATTATGATCATTATGTTATAGGAATATATCGTCACACTCATCAAGTTTCTCATGTAATGAAAAAAAAAAAAAAAAAACCCTAAACCCACATGTTGGATATGCAATTCTGAATCAGTAATAGAAATTTAATTCAAAGTCTCATACTTGTTTCATATACACTTAAATACATTTTTTATGCTTTGAACTATGAAACCGGTCTGTTTCTCCAGTGTTGCAAGCAATTTCATGCAATGAAACTCCAAAGCAAATGAAAGGGAATAAAAAGCATCCAAATTAATCTCTGAATCATCTCAAAGTTTCATCTTGGGAATCAAATTGAGATTACTATTAATTTTCTTGAACATGTTTCATGTTAAGTTGTCACTATTACAGCAAATACAAGAAAGCAGTTCTTTCCAGGAAGAAATGAGTAAGCCTTGAAATTGTGGTTGGTAGAGATTTTTTATTGACTAAGAGTCCACAAATATCTTCTGATCCTCAGATATATTTATGCATTTTCCTACCATGTTTGCTTTCCTTGGATAAAACTACTTTTGAACCCACAAAGCCACCTAAAACTGCATAAGTTTCCAATCTTCTCTTCATGACTAGAACATTACATCACTAAATACAGCTGATACCTTCTGCAATAGCAGAAGACTGGGAAATATGATTAAATTCCAGTACTGAGTATAAGGTCAATAAATATTTTAAATCATCGTAGGTGTGCTCCTGTACTTTATTATTTATCCATTCAGAATTGGTATTAAGCAAGTTTTTAACACCTTAATCCTCCAAAGTTAGGTATAAGCTATCTCCAAAAACTCATTATCTAGGGAAACTATCAAATCCAGAGAGTTGCCTCTCTGTTCCATTTTCTGATTTCAAACATGTCTCAGTCAAATACCTTCAGTACTGTATTTCATTATTTGCTGTAATTAATTTTGTTGAACTACATGGATTTGGTTCTCTCTTTTACTTCAAGTTTCTAAAGTGCTTCAAAATTTTCTTTAATTACTTTGAACTGAGCAATCAAGGACCTGTGTAACACACTGGCTTTTTCCAAGGCAGGTATCTTCTAATTTCTCAATTTAGATTTGCCCATACTTGATTCATCCACAGCTGAGTAATATGGCAGTTAACAGGCAGAAATTACATCTCTTTTCTCCACATCTCTTTAAACCTCACTGCCTGTATGCAGATACAGACAATTGCATACAGCTCCCTCAGTTCTGCTGCACATCTACCTCGTCCCATTTGTTCCTCATTCTAGACCAAGTTCAAAAAATGTTACTGAATTGTTAAAAAAAAATTGTACTGACTGTCTTCCAAAAAACCACTTCTATTCACACATGCAAAGGGTCAAATTTATGGTGGGTCTGAAGCTCTTCTCAAAGATTTGATTTGGTATAGAAGGATTACTGATGATAGTTTCAAAGCAGGGAAATATGTCAGGCATATGTTGCATGATTATAACCAGAATAGAGCTTTCACGTGTCCCCAAAATCCAGCCACTCCAATCCCAAGCACTACCCACGACCACTCCAGTAAAGAAACAGGTTTTCTCTCTTCCTGCTATCTTCATTCTCAGAAATAACTTTCTCCCTTTTCATATCCTTCTTATGCCTGCCCAGATAGCCAGCATTCTCTGGAAGAACTTTTAGTTTGATTTTAATTGTGGGTTTTGCTGATTTGTGTGGGGTTTTTTTTTTTTTTTGGTTTTTTTTTTTGTTGTTGTTGTTGTTGGGGTTTTTTTTGTGTTTTATTTCTCAGCAGAATCATTCTCATTTTTCTGCAGTGCCTTGACTGGTTCCTTCCTTTCTTATTAGCTCTGACAGCCATGGCAATTGCATGTGCGTGCCGCAGAGACAGCTCCAGCACTCACTGCAGCTTGCCAAAAGATCTCTTATTTAAAATTACAACCGTTGGACAATTTCACATATGTACTTCAAAGGCACTTTGTTCTGACAATACACATCCCTCCAAAAGGTCTCGAACTTGCAAGTTGGATAATGTACTGCGCTCTCCCTGACAGAAAATGATTGGTTTGTTTTCAAGAAGATCCTTGCTGTTTTTATCTCTTTACTTTTCCAAATCTATAAATATTTTGGTATAAAACAGAACGTTAATTTATGCAGAAGACAGTCAGGTTTCTGTAAGGCCATGTGTTTCTTACTAGATATATCATATATTTGTCAAGCTGAAAAACCTACAGAGATGGTATGGAAATCACATTTCGGTTTTTTTCCCTTCCTCTTTCTTGTTTTTCTTTTTTGGGGTTTTTTTGGGGGGTTTTTTGGTTGTTTTTTTTTTGTGCTGCTTCAAAATGAATCAACTATGACACCATATGTTGCAACAATTGCTGAGAATGACAAAAGTAATATATTTTTCTCAACAAAAAAGCACCATTAAATTAAGGAAATTGTATTTCCCTTAAATCTTCCTGTATCTTCCTGGCTCACTTAACATCTTGTTTTATTTCTGTGTAGGCTCTTGCCAGCCTTCCTCTCACTGTGGCAGGCTTCTTTCTAGAGAAACATGAGCATCCTCTGGCTACTGCTGGAATAACTGAGATGTCCTTCACTTTAAGGGGGAAGGTGGAAGAATCCTCCACCTGTGCCAGAATCCTCCACCTGTGCCAGCACATTCAAGGTGCATTGGCCTTGGACTTTGATGTTTCCCATCTAACAGCATAAGAAGTTCTACCTTGTGCTTACTGTGAACCTAATAAAATAAAGCTACTGTTAAAAATTATTATAAATATATAATGTGTACACATTATATATATTATTACATATATATATATATATACGCATATATACACGAAATAATACTATCAAGTTACAACATTGCTTCTTTAAAAACGTGTATCATGTACCATGTTTCACCCCACAATTTACCTGCTTTTCGTAGCAGAAGAGTTATTTGCTCCTTGCTCTGCTTGAAGGGGTCAAGTTACTAGAATTATCAAGAGAAATCCTCACTCTGTTTGAAATTAACTGGATGTGGATATCAGTTGGCTGAACAAAAGGAATGTCTGATTATGCTGTAAGCACTAAAGATACATTGCATATCTAGGAAGCTTTTCTTCTCATTACTTAACATGTTGCTTGGTTACTTCATCAAACTTGTCGTCTGTGAGGAAACCCATTTCATCAAGAAAAAAATAAACCATAAAGCTAACTCCACTGGGACTGAAATGGGAGAAAGGCTTTTTATTTACGCTTATTTCTGAAGTTTCAGTTCAAAACTAAGTTGCTATGTTCACACCCCAGATATGTAAAAATATAATTGCACAGAACCATTCTCAAAAAAATGTGTCATGCCCCATAGAGGAGTGCTCTTCTGACCCTTGGCATGACAAGCATCACTCCGTGTGTTCCAAAGTTGTCAGGACCTTGGCTAAGGATTCATGCAAATCCCTTACAACCAATTCTTTACCTTTCTGTAGGCCACAAGTACTAAGTTAGAGGGCCAACAGATAGAGATAAGGTTTGGCACGATCAAACACTTCCCATGCCACTAAACCAAATGATCTTGAGAAGCACCTGGAATTTCTCTAACAGTTCACCACCATTTGGAGACAACACAGAGGCAGGCGGGTTTTATATTGGAAAATGGCTTTCCCAAGCATTTCTCCTGTGGTTGTGGTAGACCTGGTCCTTGGCTGTGCTCTGCTCATGAGATTATACCACCGTTTTCCCAGAAGCTGAGCAGAATTCAGCAAACCTCAGTTCCGGGACATAAAAAAAGATGACAGAACGATAACGATAATAAAGATGGTGATGATGATGATGATGATGATAATTAGTAGTAGTAATTAGTGGTACCACCAAAACACCAACAAAAAACCCCAACCAACCAACCAACACTCGCCAAACAGAAAGAAACCACCAACAAAAGAATCCCCCAAAGAAAGAAGAGCTTTGCTCAGGAAGCCGGCAGCTTCCTCTGGGCCCTCGCCGTGTTGCACCAGCGTTGCAGCACCTCTCCCTCTGCCCATACGACCCCTCCGACCCTCCCCAGCCGTCAGCAGCGTGCTCGCCCCCCGCCCGGCTTCGGTTCTCCGCGGTGCCGCCCGGCGCAGCCTCTCCCGCGCGGTCCCTCCATCCGTGCCGCGGCGGTGTCGGTGCCGGTGGCGGTGCCGGTGTCGGTCCGGGCGGGCTGTGTCGGGCCGGGGCGGGGTCCGCAGCGCGCACGGCGCCGCCCCCGGCGGGCAGACGGGCGCGGCGGCGTCACGCGGCGGTGCCGCCCCCCGCTCCCGGCGGCCGCCCCCGCCCGCTGCCGCCGCCGCCGCCGCCGCGCACCCGCAGCAGCGCCCGCTCCGCTCCGCTCCGCTCCGCTCGGTCGGCGGGCGGCAGAGGCAGCCCCGGCAGCCGCGCCCTCCCCGGCCCGGCCCCGGCCCCGCGGCCCCCGCGCAGGTAAGGCGCGCCCGCAGCGCGGGCGGAGCGGCGCCGCGGAGGACCAGCCCCGCTCCGCCGCGGCGGAGCCGGTGGTGGCGGCGGCGGTGGCGGCGCGAGAGGCTGGTGGGTTTGCGTGCGGCGTTGTGGAGAGGTGGATGGCGAGGAGAGGAGATGGTGGAGCGGAGGTGTAAGTTAAAGGTTGGATGCGGTGATTTATTGCCCCTTGCCGAGGCGGGGGGAGGAGGGGAGAGGGGGTCTGCGAGACTTGAGCGATAAAATCAATCTGCTGCATGTTCTCCCTGGCGTGAGCTGCCGTGGTGAAACGCGAAGCCGGGGCAGCGATGGGATATCGCAATATTGTTGTTATTTGTCGGCGGCGGTCTGAAAGAGACGAGGGGCTTGTGCGGGAAGTGCATTGATAATTTGGGACATTTTCTATTGTGTGACAGAAGAAAGAGGGCACTCGGCTTCTTCGATACGTGTTTGAAACTGTTCAGGTTCCTGCTGATGGTGTGCATTTTTGAAGGGGTAGAAATTATATCATAAGCATATTAAAATAAATACATCTGCAGACTGGAAGGAGAGCAAAATCGATCATTCCAGCCGCTTTGGAAAGATTTTGATTCTAGAAATTACGTAGAAATGAAAGGAAAAGATTAATGATGCTGCTAAGTCTGCTTTTGAATTAGAGCGCTTCTCCCTTTGGCTGCAGCAAGGTTGTTTTTCAGATCCTTTTATTCCATCCGGTAATTTGTGAACTCTGGTCTTCCCCGCACCCAGAGACAATGCTCTGTATTTCATACAATAAGGATTCTGCCAAGGATTGTGCATGCCAACCGACCTGGCATTTATTAAGGATTTATTGACCTATGGGTGTCTCTCTCTCTCTCTTTTTCTAATTTGAAAAGGCTCAATCGGGGCACCTGTGACTAAATCATTTTTTTTGAAGAATATAAAATGGTTGTAAAGGGGTGGGGGAAGCATACGAATTCACTGGCGAGGCTCTGAACGCAATAACTACATTTATATTGGTTTGTGCATATTTCTCGCTACATATGTGTGTGTTCACGGATACATTGCTGGGAGGGACGCCTGGTGCTTAAGAGCCATTTGAGATAGATAGATACATAGATAGACATATTTTAATAAATTGTCCTCTTCCGAGAATGACAGTGTCCCTCTGCTTTAGAAATGACTAGACTTGACTGTGCTGTTTATTGGCAATGTGTGAATTATATCGGCAGTAATAAATAAGCAATTCTTTGCTGGGCTATTTTTCCCTTGGATCTTTCTCCTTTCTTTTACAGTCATTCCACCTCGTCCTTTTTTTTTTTTTTTCTTTCCCTCTTTTTTTTTTTTTTTTTTTTTTTTTTTTTTTTTTTTTTTTTCTTTCTCTTCCCCGCTCTTGCCGCCGCCGCTGCTGCTCTGTGTGTGTGTGAGTGAGGGGGCAGGGGGCAGGCAGGCGCTGCAGCCAGCGGCAGGCAGCGGGCAGGGATGCTCGCGAGGTGGGATCCCCGCGCGGCGGCTTCTCCGCGGACACCTGTAGGGATCGCTCTGGCACGCACGGCGGCCGCGCACACACTCACACACACTCACACTCACACCGCGTCCTTGCCTGGCTCCCCCCACCCTTCTCCCCACCCCTGACAGCCACCACGGGCTCCTGGCACCCTCCCGCTCCTGCGCCCCGCGCACAGAGGCGCAAACCCCTTCCCTTCCTCCGCCCCGCTCCTCCCGCAGCCGCCGCGCCCGCCCCGCTCACCTTGCGTCCCCTCCCCGCCGCGCCCCCCGCATTCCCTCCCCACCGCCCCTTCCCCCGGGGGCCAGCCCAGCCCCAGCAGCTGCCCGGTGACCCCCGTGAACACACACACACATACGCACACACACAGACACAAACACACACGCCCCGCGCCTCTTCCTCACGCACCCCGTCTCCACAGACCTCCCCTTTCCCCCACTCATCACCTCAGGCACCCCTCACACACAGCCCCCTCCCTCCTGTCTTTGTCCCCGGGCCCGCACGCCGTCTCTCACACCGCCAGCCAGCACCCGGCTCCCCGCACCCCCACACACCCCAAACCCGCCCCATCAGCGCCTCCCTCCCCTCCGCCGCAGCGGGGCCCCGCGGCCTCCCGCACGCCCCCTCCCCGCCCCGGGCGCGCCCCCCCGGGCTGCCCCTGGAGCGCGGCCCCGGCGGAGCGCGGGGGCAGCGGCGGGGCCGCTCGGGCTCGGCGGGCGCCGCCGCCCCGTCGGGCCGCGCAGGGCGGAGCTGTTCCGGGTGCTGAAGCAGGAGCGGCCGCTCGGCGCCGTGCCGCAAGCCAGCGGCGCCCCAGCCCGCGGCCGCCGCCGCGCCCGGGAGGGCCCTTTGGGGAGCGGGGTTGCGGGGGCTCCCGCCGCCGCTCCTCTCGGGAGCTGCCGGAAAATCCCTCGGCTTGTAGCGGCGTTGCCAGAGGTGGCTCCTGCCGAGGGGCAGGGAGGGGAAGCCCCGGGGGAAGCCTGGGGTCTGCCTGCTGCTGGTGGGCACGCCTGGCCTCTGCCCGCGAAGTTTGGGGGGGGGGGGTGTTCTCCTCTTCTCCCTTTTGCTGCTCTTGCCCACCTCACGTGTGGCAAATAATAAAAATAATCGTGTTGACATTTAGAGGAATGAAATTAAATATAGAGAGAGTAGGAGGTGACTTAGCAGCTCTGAACGTGTCAGGTGCAGGCAGCTGAGGTGTGTGCCTGTTTTTAAAACGTTTCTCCCTGGCAGGGTCATCTCTGCCCCCTCTCCCCACACACGCATATACACAGGCACACACATCCCAGCCCAGAAAAGGGCTTGGCAGCAGCTGTGGACATGCTATTGTGCCTGCTGAAGTGCTGCTGGCAAAGAAATGTAAGAGAGGGGAAGGGGAAGCAATGAGTGAGGGAGTGTTGGAGATCCTCTCCTCCATCAGGAGAGGTCTGCTAATACACAGCTCCCAGAAACGATTCAGCAGCTCTGGGGGAGAAAAGCAGCCTGTCCGCTGAAACGTTTTGGATGTAGAGACCTCTTCAGAGGATAAGGGTGAACTGTGGCATATATATAATTTTGAAAACAGAGTTGTTCTCTCCTTGTTCTCTTAAATAAGGGCAGCTGAGTAAATAGACATAAAATACTGCAACCAATTTCAGAGGACTAACACCTGGGATTAGCTGATCTGCGTTGTGAATAATGTCAACATCAGAGCTGGCTTGAATTGGATTTTCCGTGCCATAGCAGAAAATACCAGCCCCAGAAGAAACCAGGTAGCAGAGAAAAAAAAAATGTTTTCAAAAACATTTTAAAAAATGCAAAAAGCCATCTAAGAAACTATTGCAATTCTTCCTCACCCCAGGAAAAATAAACCAGTAGGTGTGCCATGCGTGGTGGAGCTTGTCAGTTCCTGCTGGGAGCTCAGGCCACTTTATTTTTTTGACCTGTATTAGAAACAACCAGAACTAGGCTTGGTAGCATTGTTCGATCGTTCGTATGACTAGGACCTTGTAGCTTCACAGGTGATGGTGTTTTCACAAATAAATTAAAATTAAATAAATTGCAGAATAGCCTCTATCTTTTCTGTTTGACTTTGTTCTTGTAATAATAAAATGCACTACTGAAATATTTGAAAGTTTTGGAAAGGTAAGTAGTTTACATTTAGATTATACCATAAAAATGTGGTCTAGTATAAACATATGTGTTGAGAATCGTCTTTAGCACTGCAGCCTACTACAATTATTCAGTAACTCGAAAATTACAGCAGCATTTTCCTAATGTCCAACACCAGTCAAAAAGAAAAAATAATCACAAATGTTCACTATTGATCAACTTTGTGATTCAACATGTTATTAGTTGTCATTTCTTATTATTCTGTTTCAATTCCTTGCAGATTAGAAACAAAAACAATAGAGGAGAATCACCCCCCTGGATCTTAGCCTTGGCCTTTTTCAAGCACGGAGAAGAGGAGCTGCCAGGCTTTGCATGTCAAGTGGCCACTCGGCTGTTTGACAGCTTCTGGGTTTCAACCCCGTTGGGATTGAGGCAGCTCAGGCAACCACGAGCGATGAGTCCTGTCGTCTGCTGACGCTGCTCTAGCACCATGGCAGACAGGCTGTGATATGACAAGAGGATCCATCCTAGGGAGGCAGCGTTGGGATCCGTAATTGGCTTCCTGGGAAACTACAGCTGGTGGAGAGGATGTAAAAAGAGGCGCGCATGTGCCAGGATATTGCTACAGCCTTGCCGAGCTGGTGGATCCACTTGGAGGAGAGTTTTGCCACTGATCTTGGTTTTTTCCCAGTTTGGTAATGTTGGCTTTGGGGAAAATTTCTGCTGACTCACCCACCCCTGGACACCTTTTGCAGAGCGTGGCCGGCCAGTGAAGAGATCCAACGGCGCCTTACCCCCACTGCGGGTGCCCTCCGGTGGCCTCTGGCACCATCTTGTGCCCAACCCCATCCCGTGGGGCAGCTGCAGCCCCCCGCCCCGGGGAGTCTCCCACAGTGACCCCCGCACCCGGGGCGGGGGTGAGTGTGCCCAAAGCTTCCAGCGCGGTCGGCTCCCGGCAAGATTTTACCCTGTCTGCCACCGGGGTCCCGGTGCCGCCCCCCGCCAGCCCTGCCGCCCCGCTCACCCGCCCCAGGCCGCGCAGGATGGGGGCGGTGCTGGTGCGGCGCGGGGGCTGCCTGCTGCTCTGGCTGGCCCTACTGCTGGGCTGCTGGGCTGAGCTGGGCAGCGGGCTGGAGTTCCCGGGCGCGGAGGGCCAGTGGACCCGCTTCCCCAAGTGGAACGCCTGCTGCGAGAGCGAAATGAGCTTCAACATGAAGACGCGCAGCTCCAGCGGGCTGGTGCTCTACTTTGATGACGAGGGTTTCTGTGACTTCCTGGAGCTCATCCTCACCCAGGGAGGGCGGCTACAGCTCAGCTTCTCCATCTTCTGTGCCGAGCCTGCCACCCTGCTCTCAGACACGGCAGTCAACGACAACCTCTGGCACGCTGTTGTCATCCGCCGCCACTTCAAGAACACGACGCTGATCATTGACCGAACCGAGGCCAAGTGGGTGGAGGTGAAGTCCAAACGGCGGGACATGACTGTCTTCAGTGGGCTCTTCCTAGGAGGGCTCCCGCCGGAGCTGCGGTCAGCGACGCTAAAACTGACACTCTCCTCCGTCAAGGACCGGGAGCCCTTCAAGGGCTGGATAACAGACGTGCGGGTCAACTACACGCAGGCGTCACCGGTGGAGAGCCAGGAGGTGCGGCTGGATGATGAGCAGAGCCGGCTGTGCGCCAGGGACGACGTCTGCCTCAACGGGGGCGTCTGCTCGGTGCTCAACGACCAGGCCGTCTGCGACTGCTCCCAAACGGGCTTCCGAGGGAAGGACTGCAGTGAAGGTAAGGGGCCATTTCAGCTCGCCCCATCGCCCCCCTCCCCATCACTCTATGGAGGGGACGGGTCAGAGGCCAGGCCTGCATGAAGTTTCATCTGTATGAGTGGATCTTCCTCCCTCCCCTTCCTTCCCACCATGTACCCAGCTCCCCTCTTCCCCATCTTCTCCTCCATGTCTTCCACGTGTCTCTGTGGTCAACCATGGTGCCATCACTCTTCTGTTCTCTGTGAGGCTGGGTGAGAGGAGGAAGAGGGTGTTATCTGAGCATCTTCCTGGGGTTTTGGGTTGTTCCGGGTAAAGGAGAGCTGGGTGCTGGGTACCAGGTGTCACCCAGATGGCAGCGGGTGGCTGGAACCACGCTCGGCGGGAGATGAGGGAGGAGACGTGCATGCTTATCACAAGCAGCTGGTGGTAATTAATTTGGGGAGCAGGGAAATTGATGCTGGGAATAATTTATCTGGATTAAGTGCAAAGATGACCTGGGTTTGGTTTTGTAGGGTAGAGGAGACCCAGAGTCCACTTTGTATTTGCCTCTGCTATGTCATTGAAATAAAATCAGTGATTTATTTGTGAATTCCTTAAATTGTGGCCGGGGAGGAAGGGGATTAAACAGAGGATTATGTTTATACAAGAATGCGAAGGGTACCGCTTTGCAACATATTTAGCAATTCACCATGCCTGTTAGACAGGGAGAACACAAAAGGGCAAGGGGGAAGTACATACTCCAAGACCACAAAATGACTGAGTAGATTATTAAGGAAGAGGGAACCTAGAAAAACAGCAGTTTCTTTAATCTCATCTACAAATAAATCACTGGATAAAATATGATTCATATTCAGTACCCATTGTTTTTGGCAAATGGAAAGAATGTGAACGTTTACTTTGCAGATGCATGCAGGACTCTTGTTTTTATTATTTTATTAGTAAATGTACCATTGCTTGCAGCTCCTCTAGGCATAGAAATTATGTATGTTGTGTAACTAGAGCAGGATGTGAAGGTGTATAAATGAAATAAGTGTAAATGTATCAAGGGAAAATATGATTATCATGTCAAAATTGGAGAGCAAAGACCTAAGTTTAAAATGTAAAAGGTAAATATGAATAAGATATTATCAAGGACAAATTAAGATCTTCACTGAGTGGCTGCATGACATTTATGGCTGAATAATTTGCCTTTAGCATTTCTATCAGATTTCACTCATTATAAGAAAGAAAACATCATTTGTGACTGTGCTTTATTATGTAACACCTTCTGTCCTTAGTGTCAATACTAAAATGCTACAGTCATTCTGCATCCTGTTTACTTTATGAGCTGTTTATCTCTCATCTGCCATTCGTGAAAAATTCAACCCCTATTAACACTTTAAATATTTTTTTATAGGAGCAAATAGTTTCAGAAAATTAGTCATTTGTACTTTCAATTGCACCCATTCCCAGAAACTGTAAAATGAAATATCTTTTATATTGGGTAAACCCTCTCGATTTAGTATTTGGGTGTCAATTTTTAATATATGATACTACATAATGTATAGGTGTATGTACAATATTGAGTTGTCTTAGCATCTCTGAGTTAGGCCCTATTATAAAGAAAAAAAAAAAAGAGGTGTAGCAGCTTTGTCAAAGCAATAATGGTAATTTAAATTACTGTTAATACTATTATAATTTATATGTCCTTTACACTAAAACATAGTTTATTTATTTGAAGTTATTTTGCACATATAATACTTATGTGAAAGGGTTCACATGATTGCATGTAGTCAAATAAATTATTGCCTTTACATAATAATAGGTTCAGTGGCTATTTTTAAGGAACATTTGTTTGTTTAGATCAAATTTTAGAGAAATACATATCTATGTTTATATTTAGTGAAAACTGTATGGAACTTTTAAAATGATGGAGCTCAAAATAATATTTAGAATCCTCCCCCAAATTAAGGTAAAATGCTGACTTAATTTAAGTGCTAGTGGTTTTACAGTTGACATTGGTGGGATCAAGTTTCTCCTCACATGTCCCTTAACTACTGAGAAGCCTTATAAAATAATAGCAAGACTTAAAATTTTAGCAGAAAGTATTCAGATTCCGATTTCATTTAAAACAGGAGGCAACATTTGCCCCGACAGCAACATAAATGGAACTACATTGCAGTTCATACCTGTTAATTGAGAAAAGGTAGCAACTGACACTTCCATCAGTCAAGTTTTGATGAAGGGATTAGAAGTTACTCATATGTGCCAGAAAAGATATTGAGTTGTTATAAATTATTTAATATTCTAGGAAACAGATTAGGCAGAAGGACAAGTAGAGCCTTTATATCTGCCAAGAAAGAAACCTTGGCTTCTGTTCTTTAGTTTTTTTGTAGCCAACATAGACATTAAGCTGTTGAACTTTCACCTTTTGTTCCCAGAATGTGTAAATTTCCCACAAGCCTTAGAAAGACATTGCCATTGCTAAAGGATCATCTCAGGCTGCAATTATCTGAAGGGGTCTTTTGAGTTTTCACTATTATCCTTGTTTTGATTTTTGTTTAAAAATGGTTTTAGATAGGAAGACTCCCCAACGTTGCATTTTTATCTGAAATTATAGCCACATGTTCTAGTTGATGCTTTTCTTTAATGGTGAAAGATGGTAATTAAATTCTATTTTCTTTGGATTTTTTAATTTCTTTTTTTTTCTTGGTTTTGTTGTTGTTCTATATCTCTGAAGTCTGGTAAAACATAGAGTTCCTCAGTGTAATGAGGAGTGTAAACCTTTAAAAAATTTTCTACCCTGACTTGCATGTTTAGGAATTAAAAAGTAATAGATTTAGAGTCAAAGTTTCAATTCTAAAGATGCCATTTTTAATACAAGTTCAGTTATTTTCAGGAGAAAATCTGGTGAGTTTTTTTTTCACAGATTTTCATCTTTGAAAAGCTTATTAATGATCCCTGAAGTAATTTTTTTTTTCTTGTAAGAATGAAGTTCAAGTTTTGGGTTGGATTTTTTTGTTTGTTTGTTTTGTTTTGTTTTTTAAACCCATAGTATATATAAATTCTTTTCAGTAGGCTTAACTGGTTTTATACCTGTCTAAATCAGGAGTAGCTTCATTTATGTTTTCTGAACTACACCGCTGTGAGAACAGTGCAAGCTAGGAAAGAGCCATTCAGTCATTCCTTTTGTCCCAATAGGATCTAAGTCCTCTTCAATGGGAGCATTGACATAAATCGGAGAAAAGGGACTGGAATTTTGCTTAAGTGTCAAGGATGTGCAGTCCATAGCAAAAAAAAATACCATCTCTAGCAGTTCTCTGGTTGATAGGCCCATGGGTAAAAAACAGTACAAGAGTCTTCTAAAAGATAAAATCTATGCTTTGTCCTGAAAAAAACCAAGGGCTTATTAGTTCACATAATAATAGTGATTCTGTAGAAGAAAAAATACACAAAATCATAACAAATTTTATTAGGAATAAGAGTAGCATTGAAATAAACCCTGACTGTCATATCACTTTTATGATAAGTTTTTGACATACATTTCAATCTTCTATTCAGTGAAAGTTACAATATTTCCTGAAATTACTCAAATTGTTATGGCTTGATTATATGATAAGGAGATAATTTTATTAAAAATATCAATTTTTAAATCAGATTTTTAGTGCATTAAGTCAGGGTACTATAAGGTAAGGAGAATACATTACTCATATCGATGAACCTCCATATTCTTGTAATTTTGCTGCTTAGGTTAAAATTTCAAAACAAAAGAAAACCCCTATTTTGCCTGTTAAATGACTAAAATAGTGACCTTCTGATTTTATTAAAAAAAAAAAAAGAGTATAGTTTTCCTTTCATTCTCATTTATATAAAAATAGCCTTGTCCATTATCCTTTCTGAGAAAGTAAGCAGTTAGCTCTAAAAGAAGTAGTTGCTTCTAAATTGTAGTTGCTTCTAAAAGAAGTAAAGGCTTCTAAAAGAAGCATTGAGTTGGGGAAAGTTTCTCACCGATGCTAACTTCTTGTAACTCCATGGCCTTCTTCTTTCCTATATCTCTAATGGATTGAAAAAATTGCAGGCAGGCTCCTTTATCTTTGTAAACTATAGCTTCCCTACTTACCTCAATATTAACATCTATTCAGGCAACTGCTCTGTGAATTCAAACCATTCCTGTTTATAACTTGTTGTATTTTAGCTGTTCTACTGAGTTTCTGGTTTGTGAGAAAAATGAGGACTGTTCAGGCAGCTGTTCACTGTAAGAGATACTCTTCCTTGTCAGATATTCAGAAATTGATGCCAGCTACGGTTTGAACTGTGAAAGTGATTTTTGAGGAAGTCAGTTCCAGATGTCTCAGCCTAGCCAGCACTTAGATTTGTTTGTTTGGGTTCTGAATATACTACATCAGTCTTTGTTGTATTTCCTTTTGCATGTTAACTTTTTAAAAAGCCATTCAATATTCATATCTCTTTGAAATTTTTGATATTTCAATCCATTTTATTCCCTTTATGCCTTGAATGAAACATTTGAACTTCTTTTGGCATTAATTATCTATTGCAAGTTGCATGTGGGAGTGAGATGTTGTTGAACTCATTGCCAACAGTCAGTCTTAACAGAGCAGTCACCATGGTCTTTATCCCTCTTGAATCCTAGCTAAATGTACTTCGGACTGGTAAATACTGTGAACAAAACTTGCCTTTTTGATTTACACTTCAGAATCTTTATCTACATGATCAGTGTTTCTTCTTCATGCTGAATTTCTTGTCAGTGCCAGTGGCCACTGGGGTGATGTTGGTTTAGAAGGAGGGTTAGAAATGCACCAGAGATTGCACTGAGGTTCTGTATATGTACAAATTATGTCAATAATTTAACAATCATTAAATCATTATTTCACTTTATTTAATACTTTTAAATGGTGACTTTATTGTCAAAGTAGAATCTCGAGAACAGATAGTCAAGTAATCAGAAAGTGATTCAGAACTGTTACATCTGTTACATTCACATTAAGTCATATGAAAACTCAATCATTATGTCAGTTTAAA